GAAGAGCTCACTTTGCTTTATCTTGTTATGTTACAAAAATAACACGCGATCACCATACTCGCATGTGGCCAATCCTTGCACGTTGTACAAGCAGTTGTAGAGGCTCACGTTTCCTTTGATAATTGCATTGATAAAAAATGGTCGTTGCAATCCTTTTCAAAGAAAAAGGCTAAGTTTAGAGAGTTATAATAGACAGAATACTCATTATAATTGTTTAAAAGATGTGTTTAAAATTAGAATTCTAATACAATTGAATTTTTTTTTTGAAAATGTAACATAGTAAATTTGTACTACGACAAAATTAGCGCATATGGATAATTATTAAGCAATTTATTACGTTTCAAAAAAAAAAAAAAAAAAAAAACCTTGAATTAAATCTGTTATCTGCAACGCGGTCATGGGATCTAGAAATGGAACGTTCTGTTTATTTATTATAATTAACATTGCATTGCATGTACATGTTTTCTAGAACGTGGCAACAACACGTTGCTGATTCTGAAACCTTAATAGTAACAATATTGAAGAATAATCTCGCATTATTTGAATAGATCTACAAACTGTGTGCATAAATGGGAAATTATAGTTCAATGAAATAATCTACTCTTAGGTATTATTAGTAGTAGTAATAGTAGCGTTGTCATCATTGTATAAACTTAGTAATAAACACCACAATAAATAAATGATACATACTACAAAACTTGATCGCAACAGTCTTTCCGAAGGAACAGATCAATAAGAAACTGTTATTATTGTTGTGATTTGTAGATAAAGACGTGGATAATAAAAATAAGATTACACAAAAATTTTCAATTTTATAATCCATTGCATAATAATAAAATATTTGTTCTTGATCAAGAACGTGCAGCACATTGTTCAAATTCTTGTTAACTATAATTAGCAAAAATATAATCAATAATCTCTTTTTTGAATTTAAAATATCAATTCAAACAACATTTTCAAATACAACTCCATATAATAACACTATGTAAAAAACCTTTCAATAGAAACGCCTATTTTGAGAACCTTTTACTATAAATAGAAAAATACCTCTATCTAAGAACAACCTCTGTGAGAACATTTTTAGAAAAATTTACTATGTTCCCAACGGGGTTTTTATATGGAGGTACAACCATATTCAAAATTTTTTTTCGTATAAGTGTGTTCGCTTTTTTTCAAACGAATAAAATAAAATATTTTAATCCTTACGAGAAAAAAATCAATTCGTCCGTGATATCACATTCATTTAATTATTTACTTTGAAAAAAAAAAATGTCTTTAAATTTCAAAGATAGCAAGCTACATTCATTATTTATTGTAATATTGATTATTACAAATGTATTTTCAGACTCTAGTATCTCTCGTCACGCAGCTTTTAGCGTAGTGGTGGATAATAAAATTTATGTTCTTGGAGGATTTAGTGCAGGAATATCATCTTCAACGGATTCATTATTTTATGTAGATTTGACTAAAGATTTTGATGCTACAAAAGTACCATGGGTAGATGGTAATAAAATACCTGTAAGAACTGCTTGGGGTGTAGGTGCAGTTAGCGGGACAAACAAATCTACAATATTTTTATTTGGAGGAGTTATGTTAAATCCAACTTCCAATACGTTTAATTTCACCAATTTACTTTATACATATGATATACACAAAAATGTTTGGGATGCTCCAAAAACAACAGGAATTACACCCACAAATCGTCGAGAAAGTAGTATTGTGGTGGACGATAAAGGGAAAATGTATATTTTTGGTGGAGTGGCAGACAACAAAACTACAGATTCTTATAATACTACTTTTCAAGTTTTTAATGAGATGTACGCTTTGAATACAGCAGACCTGACTTGGGGTCTGGTCTCTGCAATTGATCCACCATTACCAACTTTTGATCACACTTCAACTTTATTACCTGATGGTAGAATTGTAATTATTGGTGGAAGAGAATCAAATGATACTAGCGGTCTGGTTTTTTATGAAGCTGACATATATAAAGTATGGCATTTATCTTTATAATTTGAATTATATATTTATTTACTATTTATTCCTTTATTTATTTATTTATTTATTTATTTATTCAAATATTTTGTAGATAAAAATTTTTAATACAAAAGATTTACATTGGACAATTATGACAGCCACTGGTCCACAAACAATTCAACCTCGATATGGTCATACAGCAGTACTAGGTAATTAATTTTATTTATTTTAATTTTTTTGAGAATATAAACAATTTTTTTAATATCACAATGTATGCATACACAGCAAATAATACAAATATAATTGTTTATGGTGGTATGAGATATCCAGAAAAAACCACAGCATTTCCTGAACTTCTTGTACTGGATATCAGCACAAACCCCTTCCAATGGTCTACACCCAAATTTTCACTTGATAATCGTGCTCCACCTCTAACAATGCATGTAGCTAATTTAATTGGAAATCAAATGATAATAAGTTTTGGTAAGTTTTTCCTTTAAAAACAAACTTTTATTCTTTCCAACCTAAAATTTATTAATATAAAATAAAATTATACACATATATAGGAAATATTACAAATAATATCACGGATCCAAAATCATCTAGTGCAGACACTCATATACTTGATATTAAAGATTATAGTTGGAAATCAAGTTATTCAGCATCTGAAGCAAATTTAACACCAATACCACCAGCACCACCAGCACCAACACCACCAACACCACCAGCACCAACACCACCATCAGCATCATCAACATCATCAAAATCACAACCAGAAACATCATCACAAATTATTGTTAAAATATTAATAATAGTACTTCCAATTTCAGCTGGATTAATAATGATTGTAATAGTGGCATCATTTGTTATTATAAGATATCACAAGAAAAAGGATGAAAAAATTATGAAGATGCCAAGTGAACAACATCTTCGACAACACAGAATTCTGGTCAAGAGATATTATACTTGGTCAAATAATATTAATTGTTAATAATGTTAATAATAAGTGTGTTTATGATTATATTATGGTCATTATTGACCGTAATATTGTATTTATAATAAAATCATTAATATAGAGAATACCTGAATGCTATTAATATATTTATTTTATCACGATTCCACTTAAATTCTCCAACACACCATATCTGTAATTAGCATAAATTGATTATAATCATCTCTATATTTGTGCCTATTGTTTTGTAATTGGTTGTTCTACAAAAACATTTCTTTGATATTGCATGTATAACCATTGGTTCTCCAGTTTTAGAAACTTTGCATCAGCCTCCTCAGATTTATCATTTAAAAACAATCAAATCGTGATTTAAACAGGCTTTTCAAATAACATTTTAATTCCTGATATAGCGATTCTATTAATAATTTTATTTTTAGAATCAAACAGGATTATATTAGTCCGAAATCTATACTATGTAAAATACGATTAATAACAAATTCGTTATGTTTACTTGTGGCAACATTTGTTATTATGACCAAAAGGATAAAGGACAGTAAAGCTGTGTTCATGCCCATCGATAAAAAAAAAAATCATATCATAATTGTTCTTTTCTCAATAAAATAAATTTTGCATTCAAACTCTCGATTCTTTCCCAAGCACTATTTGGATGGAAACATCTCCTATTGTCAACTACATTTTATTAAAAGAAGCAGAAATTAATATGAGCGTTAAACAAAATTTGCGGTCGCATCCTACATTTAAAAAGGCATCAGTTGTGTTTACTTTTTAACTTTGAAAAAATCTTCACATTGATAGTAATAATAATAGATGAATTTATTTTTCCCGTTTACCATTTACAAAACGTATTAGGAAGTCTGTTGAACATTTAAATTGTTCCTTTTTTTTTCTGACCCTATTTTTTTTCATAGAATGAATCTATTATAATTACTATTTATAAAAATTTTTTTATATCTCTCTGTTTTTATTAATTCTATTTATTTACAATAAAAATAAAAATAAATTGCAGATATATATATTGTTGGTTTTTATGACTTTTATGACATATAAATCTAATTTTTTTATTATATTATGGATGTAATACTTCGTATAGGAATTCTTGCGGCAAGAGATTTAGCACCAGCGTAAGTAATTCATCTATTATATATTTGCATTAAAAATAAGCATTATATACATTAATCAAAAAACTAAATTTTTTTATAGTGACAAGAATGGGTTATCAGATCCATATGCAGTTATACGAGTAGCAAATAAAAAATTTGAGACAAAAGTGATTAAAGAAAACTTAAATCCAGTTTGGGACACTTCGTTTGATGTTAAACTATCAGAACCTGACATACCAGTTTGCATCACAATAACTGTATGGGATAAAGATAAGTTTTTGAGGGATTATTTAGGTGAGGTTAGCATACCAATTAGTCGAATATTTGCTCGTAACAATGGTGGTTTGAACGATGGCCAGCCAAGAACTTTTGAAGATCCTAAAAATCAACCTGCTGCCTTCACCCTACAAAGTAAATCATCCAAACATGAAGTCAGAGGCGATATAGTATTGAAATTTGGTATTGTTTCTGAAGGCAGCGAAGAAGATTTATATTATTTATGGGAAAAAATTTGTAGATTAGCAAACGCAAAGAAATGATCTTTTTTAGAAAAATTTTGATAGTGGAAGGAGAATATGGAAGGCAGAGTCAAGAAAGAAATACGCAAGCAAGAAAGTGAAAGCAAGAAGAAAGGAAGGAAAGAAATAAAAATAAAATTTTTATTTTCTTATTTATTATCAATACATCGCTATATAATATATATATCGTATATTTATTTTTTATGTATTTATTTATTTATATATAATTCATTCATTAAATAAAAAAAAACCTATTAATTCCAATTTTATTTAAAATACTTAATTGGGGAAATTACACGAGCCAGATGGGGTAATTAATATATGGTTGATCTACAAAAAGGAAGAAAAACCCCTTCTTTCCCTTTATAAAAATAAAAAAATTTAATTTTCTCTCCTTTACATAATAAACAAATTTTATATTCAAAGAAAAAAATGAGCAACAATAATGCTACAACAAACGTTACTGGAGATCAATTTATTCGTACATTAGCTCAATTCATCCGAGCTAACGAACGTAAAATAACTATGCAAAGCCTACAACAACAGTCCTCTTCAAGTCATTTATTAGGTAGTCGAATGTCAGAAAATAGTTTAGGAAATGGTTATGGTATACCAAGTTTCTGGTCTTTCTCTACTGCTCTTGCAAGTTCTTACATGAAATCTCCAACCTCGCCTGTTTCAACAACTCCAACTTCTCCCGTTAGCCCTATAGGCAATAATAATTCAAAAAGGCCTGTATTTGTTACACTTGATCCCCATCACTTATACTATTTATTGGCAAGATTTAACGATATAGGACTTGATATTGGTGTCTTTGAAGCAATTATAAATTTTGATAATAAAGATATGGATTTTGATGTTAATGACTCATCATTGGAAACTGCATCAATTACCTCAATCAATTCAATAAATTCAATATCATCTGCCATGTCTTCATTATCCTTATTCTCGGGTTGGCAAGGTTGGACCAATGCGGCTCAAAAAAATGAAAACATACCAATAAAAAGTGAGGTTTACTACATTTACAAAAGTTTCACTAAACTCTCCAATTTAAAACTTAATTCTACAATTAATAATAAAAGAATTGATGGTTTTGGCACCCACAATAATAATGATGACAATTTTAGAGTTGGTATTGATGGCGTTGGTTGGCCTTTAACTGCTACATTGTCAATAACCCTGTTTAAAAACTTGACAAATTTAGAAATTTATGGATTATCACCAAAAGTTTTTGATGGTTGGGACGTTGTACAAGAGAAATTGGAAATATTAACTTTAACTAAAAGCCCAATTGATGACATTACTGAATTATTTATTGATCTGGTAGCTGATGGATTTAAAAAAAGAAACACAATGGTTAAAGAAGCAGCAGCAAAAGCAGCAGCAGCAGCAAAAGATAATGATGGTTATGGTAATGAAGATACTGGTGATGATAAAATTATTATTATTAATGATGTCGTTATTAATGAAAAAAAGAATAATGGTAATGATGATGATGATGGTGGTGGTGGTGATGATGATGATGTAGTCGCACCATTAAAAATATGGAAAAATCTTCGGCAAATCAATTTATCTGATAATGCATTGACATTTATTCCCAATGAGCCACTCATGTATCTTACAAAATGTACACATATAGATCTATCAAACAATCTGCTGATTGAAATTCCGTCCGGATTATCACAATTGTACAATTTACAATGTTTGAATCTTAGTAATAACATGATTGAAACAATAACTGGTATTTACAAAATACTTGGTAATGTAACAAAATTGGATTTAAGATCTAATCGAATAGAGAATTTATGTGGTTTGGAAAGGTTATATTCATTGGAGTATGTTAATATTAGAGAAAATCAATTGATTGATTGGGCTGAAGTTACTCGGATGACTGAACTGCCTGAGATAAGACAAATTTGCGTTGATGGTAATCCATTCACAGAATATGAGACTAATTATAGGATTAATATTTTTAAAGCATTTAGAGAAAACAATAAAGATATTATTTTGGATGGGATGTCACCTACTTATTATGAGAAAAGATATCTCCCATCATCACCAGTTACGTCAAACCAAAAAATTCCTGTTGCCATTCCAAGCCCTGAAGGTCCTTTGTCCAATACCAATAGTTCAAATAACGAGCAGCAGCAGCAGCAGCAGCAGCAACAACAACAACATAATAATAATAATAATGATAATGATAATAATCATTTACCAGTTATAAAACATAAAAAATATCATAAAAGAATTGTTAATTTAGATGAAGATCATGATAATCATGATAACGGCGACAATAATACTCATAATGACGATAATAATGATTTAGTTGATTTTCGCCCAGCAAATATTGGTAAAAAGAAATCAAACAAAGATAGAAAAAAGAAAAAAGATCTTGGGGAGACAGCGACAAAACATCGAGTTGTTGAAATTGAAAAGGCATATGACCCTAATTACAAACCAAAGAAGAAAAAATTGGTGAAAAAAGGTCCAAACACCGTATCAATTTTCTCATCACCGTCATCACCAACAACTATAGAAGATGTGGACACAAAAACAAAAAAAAAATCATCATCATCACCACATAGTGACTCGGAAGCTATTTTGTCATCTAAGGTTAATGATGGAGTAGACTATAGAAAGAAAATTGAAGAGTTACGTAACGAAGGCGGATCTTCTTGGCTGACTGTTTTGAATGAGATGGAAAATTATGACAATAGCAATAATAATAATATAAATGGTATTTTACATTCAAGACAAAGATCAGAAAATTTACGACCAAAGCTATCGCCGAACAAGTTATAGTTGCCATTTATTAAAATAATTTGACATATGCACATACACATATGTGTATTTTTATTATGAATTAATAATTAATTATTTATATAGTTTTCAACAACAATTATAATTAATTGTAAATAAATAATAATCCATTAATTTTTGTATATATTAAGACTACCCAAGACATTTTTCATTTTTTTAAATTTTATTATGATTAGGATTATGAGAAATTATATATATTATGTTATGTTATGTTATATTATATTATATTATATTATATTATATTACATTTATTTTATTACGGTGGAATTAGATCAGGATGGCTTAGGGATGTTATATCATTGATCAATTAAACATAATATATATATATATATATATAATATCTACGCATATACATGCACAACGAATTAGACTTTTTATTATTATTTTATTATTTTTATTAGTTGGAATTGTAAATATATTAAATTGTTTTTTAATAATTTTGTCTATATAATAGTTTTTTTTTTAAACATTACTAAAATATTTTTAATGTCCAAATAACTTCAATTAGTTGGTTAGTAAAGTGAGAGTTGGTGATTTGAAGAAAATTGAGAATCGTGTGTTTAAAGAATTGATTAAAATTTGTTGTTGCTGTTAAAATATAAATATATTATCACTGTGAGAAAAAATTTGATTTTCTAAATGGATTACTATCTGATGAATATGATGGCGATGTTGATGGTGATATTAATAATGATGTTGATGGTGATTGGACGTTAAGTGAAACTAGTAGATTTTGTTGTTGCATCGGTGAAGCAAATGGATTGCTATTATTACCACTGTTAATGTTATTATTAGTAAAAGCAGGAGGAGAAAATTGTCCAAAAGGATTATGAGGTGAAGAGGCTGTCATTGCAGTTGTTTGTTGCAACTGTCGTTGTTGATCTTGAAATAACATTGAAGAACGAAATGGATTTGTATCAGATGATAATGATGATGAAGATGCAGATATAGGATTTAACATTAATGATGATTGCTGTAATTGTTGTTGCAGAACCAATTGATTTTGACCAGCTAAGAATGGATTAGTGGTTGTATCCGTAATAGTAGTAGTAGTCATAGTATTACTCCTTCCTAATGAATTATTATTAATTATTATATTATTATCAACATATTGATTACCAAAAAGTAAAGTTTGTTCGCTTTCAATATTAGAAGAAAAATCTATAAAGTCCATCTGATTATGATTTGCCGCAGTTTTAGAAATGGATGAAGCTGAAGTTGCATCCTTTTTGGTCAAAAAGTTTGCATTACTGTTATTATCACTGGAGCGTATAGTTGTTGTTGCTGCATCTTTTCTTGTGGCAGATTTATTATTATTTTCATTTTTACTTTTTTCTTGCGTATTTTTATATTCTCGTCTATTTGCTTCAAAATTTGGATCTTCGACATAATCTTGCAATGCAATTGTCAATGAGACTGGTGCCTAATACAATAAATAGTATATGTATATGGAATAGATTATATACACAAATCTATTTACAAGTATAAACACATACATATATAATAACTTACATGTTTTAAGTTGGGTATTTTGATACCAAGTACACTTTGTAATTTTTGAGCAGCCCTTAGATAAATAACAACTTTTTCAGTTTGTTTCACAAATTTTTTATAAATTTCTAATCCATCTTTTGCATCTATTTGTGACATACTAACAAATTGTTCTATATGCGCGAAGAGTATGTTGAGTTAATGAATTAATAAATTGATTAAAAGTTTTTACACACAAATCAAATCAAATTAAAAACAACAACAAAATAAAATCAAATATAAATAAAAGCTTATTGCACCTAACATATTAATAACGCCTTCATTCGTTGTTTCAAAAAGTACTAGCAAGTCGATGACAATAAGTCTGAATGCTGTCAATGTTACATAATTAGCAACCTCGTCCAGATAAAACTAATTAAAATAAACGGATATATAAATTTATATTAAAAACCATATATATTAAGCACAAATATATTCATACCTTACAATTTAATAAAGCATCTAATTGTCGTTGAAGAATCTTAACTTCTCGCAAAAGACCCTTGGCAACTGTAAGCCTTCTTAAACGACTATTATTCTCTAATTTCTTTTCTTTAACAAAATTGACCTTTAACTCTCGATATACTGAAACCTTTTCTTCCAAGTATGCAGCGTATGAATGAATATTTTTAGTTTGTTCGGCTCCTTTATATTATTATTATCACAATATTAATTGATTTTTGAAATTGAAATTTAAAAACACCAATGTTTTGGTAATAACTAATAAATTATTATTATTATACCATTGCCTATTCCTGATCCTTTAAAACCTGACAAATTTAAAATATTTGGTTTTCTAACTAAATAACTTAAAACTTGACCATCAACCCCTTTTCTCATCAAAATATGAATCACAATAAGACTTTTGAATACAATCTTTTTTCAAAAAAAAAATTTTTAAAGTCAATTAGTGTTAATAAATTAACAATTAACAAGTTTTTCGCTAAAATTATTCTCTTTATATAGCGAATACTTACCGTCCAAGAATTTTCTCGTAAACGATGTTCTAATGACGCAAATATTGTTTTCAAAGCATCACTACTTGAAGTTGCTGGTATGAGAACTATATAAATAATATATATGTAAATTAAAATACCCAATAGAATTTAAAATTATAAATGTCAAAGATGAGAAAATTTTACCCTCAAGATATTTTTGTTTAGGTGCTGCACATTTTGATTTAGTTGCTCCTTTGACTGCTCTGTCCATTATTTTTTTCTGAATATTTTATAATTTGGATTTACCAACCAAAAAGGGTTATTTAAATTAATTCGTGATAAATTTTTAGGTGGTACAAAAAACCTTTCTATTATATTGACATTGACCGTGTATATATTTCCATTTGCAGGTCACAAATTTAATTATGACGCGCTTAATATTAATTTTAGACCCTGATCACCAGTTACTCGAATCTAAATTTGAAAAAAATGTCAACAAAAAATTTATATTTGTAAATGAAATAAAAATAATTAATAATACCAATAATAAAAATAAAATATACTTCTAATAATAAATAACAATGGCACCAACAGCAACTGCTCGAGAAAACGTTAAAGTTACTATTCGATTACGACCACCAAATGAAACTGAACTTACTAGAACCGATTTTAACATTTGGGACGTTGATTTCAATGAACACAAATTATCATTAGAACAAATTTTTGCTGAAAAGAATCGTAAACAAATAAGTGAATTTTTTTATGGTATGTATGCATGCACTGTGTGTTATACACATAATCATTATAATTTTTATAATTGGAAATGAACTATATACATCAATTTTTACACTATCTATATGTTATCACATTTAGATGAGATTTTCACAGGTAGCGATAATAAAGCTTTATTTGATCGTGGAGTTAAAGATACAATCAAGTAAGTAAAATTATTTGATGTGTTGATTTTGTTACTCTTATTAATTGTATTATTATAATTGTATAATTTCAATAGAGCTACCATGGAAGGCTACAATGGTATGTGCAATTATATAAAAATGTGCTCTTGTGATGTTAAAAAATAATATATATATCTTTCTAAATTTAATATATAGGTACAGTTTTCGCATACGGTCAAACATCCTCCGGCAAAACTTTCGTAAGTGATCAATAATTATTCAATGATATAATTATCAAGTTAAATAACAAATGAATAAATATCTTCTAACTTGATCCATCTTTTATCTGTTTTATTTTAGACAATGGTATGCATGCGTTATTAGACTTTAGATTGTTATTCGTTCTCTCATTTGTTTTCTACAATCAACAAGTATTAAACTTTTTTATTTTTATTTTGTATATGATAATAACAGTCGGGTAAATATTTAGTTTACATGTTTGGTTGATTGATATTTAATATATAATCTATATCTGCAAAAATGGTGTATTAATGACGTTCTTTTATGATATATTCATTTTGATAAAGGTAACAAGAATCAACCTGGTGTGATTAAGCAGGCTGTAGATACCGTTTTTTCATATATTAGAAATGCAAGTAAATAATATCTATTAATTTCGAATTCTAATGAATTAATTATTAATAACATCACTGAATTATTTATAGTGTAATGAAAAAGAATTTCTACTCAGGGTATCATACATGGAAATATACAATGAAAAAATAAATGATTTACTTATTCCTGTTAATAAAGATCTTAAAATTCATGAAGACAGATTAGTTAGTATCAATATAATTTACTATATCATTTATCATTATTTTTAAATTTGATATCTTATTTATTTGTATGTGTTATTAGCATGGCGTTCATATTCCTAGTCTCTCAGAGGTTGTGGTCACAAAACCTTCAGAAGTCATGAAGGAGATTTCACGGGGCGAATTAAATCGTCATACAGGTTCAACAAATTGGAATGAAAGAAGCAGCCGTTCACATACATTATTCAAAATGGTAATTGAAAGTTCTTCAAAAGATGCTATGCCTCGTCGGTTTTCATCATCCTCATCGGCTTCATCATCGGCTAAAACATCGGGATCTGTTTCTGTTTCTGTGTTGGTATATATTTATTTATTTATTTTAGATTTGATTATTTTATTAATAATCACCTGATATCTAAGAATATATACTCTTTTATTTATATTTAAATAAAAGAACTTAATTGATTTAGCTGGGTCAGAGAAAGCTGCGAGTGATATTGAAAGAAGAAAAGAAGGAGCTTTTATAAATAAAAGGTAACATATTTTATGCTCTTACTAATAATACTATTACCACAATAATGATAATAACAATAATATCATTAAAATTAATTTCTAGTTTATTGACCCTTGGAAGCGTTATATCAAAATTGACCGATAGCTCTGGGTAAATAAAAATTTTAAATTTTAATAATTAACCTCATTTAAAAAAAACTAATATTTATCATCATTATATTTGTAGTGGGCATATACCTTTTAGAGATTCAAAATTAACAAGAATTCTTCAAAGTTCTCTTGTTGGAAATGCAAGGATATCTGTCATTTGTACAATTTCTCCATCATCATTAAATCTAGAGGAATCAGTTAATACTCTTAAGTTTGCCTCTCGTGTTAAGGAGGTTGTTACTAAGGCTCAAACTAATACGGTAATTATTATTACTATTTTATGAGAATATTTATATAATTTAATTGTTATAATAATTTTTTATTATATGTCTATGTATGTATGAATAGCTCATTGATGATAAGGCTTTAATTAAGAAATATCGTATGGAAATTGAAGAATTAAAAGCCCAACTCGAAAAAACTGGTACTTATAAAGAAGAGGAAATTTCTGTGATGTTACAACAAGAAAGATCCAAAGTAATATTATTGATATATTATATTTGTAATTTATATTAATTTATTTGTAAAAGTCATTCTAATTTTTTTTGATCTCTTTAATAAATATATATAGTACGAAGAAAAGTTTATGGAAATGGAACTTGTTAGAACTGCATTAAAGAAGAGAATAGATGACTTGACGAGTTTGATTTTAAATAGCAATTCATTTGCTCCTTCTTCATCACGAAAACCATCTAGTGATGCTGTTGTTGTTCCTGTAAATAATTTATATATAATTCAAATAATCACCATTACTATATCATTATTCATGTTAATTTAACATATTTATTCCTATTATCAGGCAATTGATTCAAGGATTCATGAGTTTGAAATGTTGATTGATGATAAAAATTTAAAGATTGACTCATTAACCTCTAATATTTCTGAAAAAACTGAAACGATTAAAGATTTGCAACGACAGTTGGAAGCATTAAAGAATACTAACAGGCCGGACTTAAATTTGACATTAGCTGAGCTGAATGAAAAACTAAAAGAAAAGGATGATAAATTAGTGTCGTATTGTAATTCGACAGAGGAGTTAGAAATAATTGTTAAGGAGGACAAGAAGCTTATTAAAGAGAAGAATTCCAAGATTCAGGAATTGTCAAATATTATTGAAGATGATAAGATACTAATCGGTGAAAAAAATGAGAAAATTCAGGAATTGTCAAATATTATTGAAGATGATAAGATACTAATCAATGAAAAAAATGAGAAAATTCAGGAATTGTCAAATATTATTGAAGATGATAAGATACTAATCAATGAAAAAAATGAAAAAATTCAGGAATTGTCAAATATTATTGAAGATGATAAGATACTAGTCGGTGAAAAAAATGAGAAAATTCAGGAATTGTCAAATATTATTGAAGATGATAAGATACTAATCAATGAAAAAAATGAGAAAATTCAGGAATTGTCAAATATTATTGAAGATGATAAGATACTAATCAATGAAAAAAATGAAAAAATTCAGGAATTGTCAAATATTATTGAAGATGATAAGATACTAGTCGGTGAAAAAAATGAGAAAATTCAGGAATTGTCAAGTATTATTGAAGATGATAAGATACTAATCAATGAAAAAAATGAGAAAATTCAGGAATTATCATCAGAAGTGATAAAGAAAGATGATGCTGTTGAAGAAAGGAACACAGAAATTAAGGAATTGTCATCAGAATTGACAATTAAAGATGGATCAATCAGTGAGAAAAATGTCAAGATCCAAGAATTAGCACTTGAAATATCAAAACTAGGCAAAATTGTTGATGATGATAAGAGATTATTCCAAGCATTGTTATTGGATATATCAAAAAATAACAAAACTATAAACGAATTGAAAAATCATTATTGTGTAAATACTAAAACAATTAGAGGGCTTAAAGAACAACTATCAAAGAAAGATCAGGAGATAATTTTGTATAAACAAAAACATGATTTTGAGGAGGAATTAGAGGTGCAAAGGGTTATTAAGCAAAGAAGCGGGTTAAATTACTTCATTAAGGAACACCTTATTCCTTCAAACAATTTCTTTTACGATTTTATTGGGGAAGTTGTGATTCCTCTTATCATGGTCATATTTTTAATATTTTTTTTATTATATATATAGTTAATATATAGCATTTTAATCATAATACAACAAAAAAAAACATCATAATCATAATAATCATCATAATCATAATAACAACTAAAAATAATCATCATAATCATTGTAATTATAGCAATTAGGATTTAATAGGAGTTAAAACTACGAAATGGTTTTTTACACCTTGTAAATTTTTTAATTTCATATTCAATCATATTCATATTACATTGTGACAATAAACCCATTAACCATTGGTCAATTAACCATTATTAAAGTTTATACGACTATGTGATTTATAGCGTTTTTTAATGGCTTTTTCTTGAAAACATTTGAATAGGTTATAATGTAAAGTTTATGAATCAAATCATTAAATAATTATTTTTACCACTCTATTAAAATCACGTGTGCGTGAACAATTGTTCATGGATCAAGTACTGATTATGTTTTATTTACAAGTGGTGCACAAATTATAAGTCAACTAACATCAAGAGTTTATGAAGAATGGCCAATAAAAATGCACTAGAAACTATGGGAGGATTATTAAACACATCAAATATTATAAAAAAAGTCGTGAACCTGAAAACCAAATACCGATGTTGATGAATGCTGGTATTTCAATGGTACAAAAGGTCAAATTGCCATAAAATTATCTAGAAATATTGTTTTCACTCAATTGGCACTACATCATATTGACAAAAATGTTTCAATTGATCCAATCAGCTCCGTTCCTAAAGATTTTGAATTATAGGGGTTACCTTCAGACAATGACGAAAAAAACAAAGTGATATTTGGAGTGATGATAATTGTTATTAATAGTGATGGTGATAATAGTGTCAATAATCACACCCATGATAACATTCACAATCATAATATCTATCATATTCATAATGATAAACTTAATAATGACAGCAGCAACAGCAGCAGCAATAATAATGATGATGATGAAAACAAGAACAATTTTAAACTACTCAAGAGAAAAATTTTTAAAAATAAGAATTTCAATATGATCTAATGGGCAAACCATTGCAAATATTCCATTTGCCAAATCTAAGAGTCAACAATAAAATGCATTCAAGCTATAATTATGAGGATTTTGAATAATCACAAGAACCCAAGGTTTTACTTGTTTATATAGGCTTCAAGTACACGGACTGTTTCCACAATAATAATTAATTATATTGTGAAAGCGTGGGAGGTTAATTATTATTAATTTTTTTAAGAATTTATTATTTGCATTTATTTCCTTCCCTCTTTGTGTATATATATGTACTTGTAAATATCATTATGATGCATATATAAATAAATAAATAAATTTTTAATCAATCTTCAAATACAAAATTATTATTTATTATTTCATAGTTATTTTTCCTAAAGTACATTCACAAAATCTAATAAATTTTTTTATTACAAGCTTTAAAAAATTTCCAACCCACCACCCACTCATCTACACATTTATTTTATTATTTATTGTTCACCAATCTTTGGTGCAAGATAATATCTAAGAAAACTGCTTGTAGAATTTATAGTATATTCTACGAGCAATGGCATCTCTTCAGATAAACATAATCTAACATGCTCAGATAATGGGGAACCTTTGGTAAAATTCATCAAGTATTTGAGTGAAAATTGAAGTGAGACTGGTTTCTTAACAATGATTTCGATCGTTTCTTCAGGCTAACAAATAAAATATTTATACATGTTAATAAATATTGCAAATAAATATTTTTAAAAAAAGCAAATAAATAAATATTTTAAAAATCATTAAAAAAAATAGTTACTTTATCCATAGGGGAAGTTGGTTTCAATTTTATGTTGCCATTACCAAGTTCACCTTCTGTAACGAATCTAATTTCATCACAGTCAATTTCGATCGTTACTTTTTTTTTAAAGAAAAAAATAATCTAATTAATTAAACAATAAATATATTTCAAAAAAAAAAAAACGACGATATTATATAAATTACCAGTTTCGCCAATGACCATCATGTCACGACATACTCTTTGAAATTCGGCAGAAGGTAAACTTACTATTGCATGATATTCTGTTTCTGGAATACTTAAATGTTCTTGATCAATGTCCATTAATTTCAATTCATATTCACTAAGTTTATCATTTGCTTATAAATAAATAAACAATTAATTAATTTATTAATCAAGAATAATTTATTTTCTAAAAGTTTGCAAATATTTTTTTTTGCTTACTTGGGGCTGAAAATGACATGGATAAAGTTTCAGGAGAATTGTCATCGGCTTTTAATGTGATAGAATCATCATTTCCAGCACACCTCAATAACTTGTTAAGAGAAGTTAAATTTACACCCAAAGAAAAACCTCTATCACATCGATATGTAGAAAATAATTCGTTACTTAATAAAAGTGATACTAGTGCTACGTGTGAGTTATCCATGGCTTGAAGTGCAATACCCGTCTCACTACAATCAAAATTTGCATCTGTAACAAGTTCTTTGATAGCTTCTAATAATTTTTTAAGCATTAAACCTTGACTTAAATGTGCTTCAAACATTTTTATTACTGTATGTAAATATTATTATTTATTAAAGTGAAAGGGTATTATTATTATTATTAAAATTATTATTTAATAAAAAATTTTTTCTGTCTTGTTATTTATTTTTTTATTTAAAGAAGGGTGATAATAAATTTGAAAGCAACGCGTAAAAAAAAAAAAAAAATCGTGATTTTAAAAAAAAAAAAAAAAAAAAAAAAAAAATTTACAGTACATCAAATTTTATGGGAATATAACAATTATTACTATTATTATTATATAACGAATGATGATTCAGTCAGTCATGATGATATTTGAATACTTGCAATATCCATCTAATGGTAAATAATTCTTATAATAACCTATTTAAAAATTTAATTATAAATGTTATAAACATTTCTCAATTTCTGCTTGACAAAACAAACAATTAAAATTCAATCAACAAGAAAAATTTAAAATTTCAAATATAAAAAAATTTTTTATAAATATTTACCAATTGTTTCAACATCGAAAAGTATAAAAGGCGATAACCATAACCAACGGAATTACTAACCACCCATCAACCATTGTAAATGGAAGAACAAACACATACATATTTACAACTTGTTTACTATACATATATAGTTTTCTTTTTAAGAAAGTGTTATAAAAAAAAAACAATAAAAACATTTTACATTAACACCAAAGAAATTGTTACTTACAAAATGAACATTGTATGCAAAAAGAATTGGTGCATTTCTATTATTTTTTATTATATATAATAATAATGATAAGTTTGTTCGCTCATACGGAATTTCCGACCAATTTATGAACAAATTCGCCCACAGAAATTAGGAATTTTAGGCCCCTAAACTTAGTGAGTGACGAAACTTGTAACTAAACTGTCAAAAACGGATTTATCAAAGTGCCGTCCAACCATATGTCGGACATGTGACTTAGTTTCTCGTTTTAATAATTTCGGATTATTGTTTTCAGAGACTTGCTTGATAATAGAGGCAAAAAGTTAATATAAAATTACTTCTTTACAAATAATTCGTTTTGTAATAAACATTTTTATAATTTAATAAAAAAACCAATTAATTCTTTTTTTGTTTAATACAACCCTTGAATTTATACGGTCCGTTTGGTTTTCGCCCACGGTGTTTAAGTATTCCAGTAATTTAAGGTGTATCTATATGTTTTATAATTGCTCATATAACAAGTTGATCACATAAGCCAAGTAATCCAATACCTTTCAGAATAGGCAACTTTTTTCCAAACATCAGTAGAAGTTGTTCGAGTATGTGTACAAATGAATTTTCCTTGAAAATATATATTAATTTGACAATTTTGTCATTTATTGATTACTATATCAAAGACTTTTTTTCAGAGTATCTGTAATGAAGAGATAAACAATGGCCAGAACCTGCAAATTCGACTCTCTTCGTCTGAGCTACCAAATGGGGTCTGGGACACTTTACCGACAAGACACTAACAAAATGCTAAAATATCACGTCACGTGTTGTCGGTAAAGTGTCTTGTCGGTAAAGTGGGTGTCGGTAAAGTGTCCAGGTCCGATTCAAAAACTTTAATAAAATGATAATCATCACCATTATTGCTATTGCTATTGCTATTGCTATTGCTATTGCTATTGATATTTATTATAATATCATCTTTTTTTTTTTTTAATTTTATGTAAATTATTAAGTACATTATTTCTTATAATTTGTGCAGAATTTAAATTCTATTATTATTATTTTTTAAAAAAAATTAATACAGATATTATTATTATCATTATCATTATCATTATTATTAAATCTAATAAAAACAAATAAATAGAGTTTTACTTGAATAAGTTTTTCATATTCATTTTGCCTTGAGGAACATTTTGCTATTGAATTCAATTGTTTTCTGATTTGTCTTTTTAATTGATTGGAACTTAAATTTTGAAAATTTATATTGGAACTAGCAATAATAATAAAAAGTAAGCAAGTAAATTCATTAGTAATAATAATAATTTGTTGTTATTGTATCCAATTATTTAAATGATGATGACTAACTCTGTAAATGTAAATTTTCCAAAAATAAATCTACCATCTTGAAATATTCCACCTAATATTCCACCATCACCAAATTCATTTAAACAACATATTCTAACACATCCATTTGGAAAATCAATGAAATCAGGATTTAAAGTGATAAATTGTTCTATAAAATTTTTAGAAAAAAAAAATATATATATATGAAATACTAAAAAATAAATGTTATGACATTCTAATTGATTAATTGATTATTACCATTTTTGTAAATCACTTGATCAAAATTTAAAGATATTATTTGTCCTTTATCAACTGACATGATCGATCTATTCTAAAGTAATCACTTTGGTATTAACATATATAGATATATATATATACTTGCACATGTATAATACTTGACAATGTATTTCCTACCTTATAAAGAAAAGATGAATGAACAGTATTTGGAACATGATATTCTTTATATGCAATTGATGCAATAGTAGAATCCTGTTTTGAAGCAGAATCAATGGTAATCAAAGTGATTGTATCCTCTTCACTAAAAAATAAATAAATAAATTAGTCAAATATTTTTGCTTTTTCTAACAAAGCAATAAAATAATTAGTTACCCAACTATAATAAATGCATTATGAATATCATCTGAATTTTTCCTTGTAAAGAATAAAATACTAGATTCTGGAGTACTTTCAAATTTTAAACATATTGAATATATAGCTTGAATTGGTTCCTTTTTAAAAAAAAAGTTTTAATTTACTAAGCTTATATATATTATTCAAATAAATTTTTTTTTAAAAAAAAAGGCCTCACATTTAATGTAGTAAGTGCTTCTGGAACAGAGTTTAGTGTTTGAAATGTGATTAATCCATCTGAATAACCAGTTAAGAATATCTCTTCCTGTAAACTAGAATATATATATCTTAATTAATCTTCTTTTTTCTAATATATTGATTGTTTTTTCCACAAATGTTTCTAATTTTAATTACTTTTCCAATCCAAATATTAATGAAGCAAAATCATGATTGATTAATGATATTGATGAATCTGTTGGCTTTTTTCCTTTTAAAATCTTTAAATTATATGGATAAAGTGTTGAATTTGTTGTTATTAAAGAAAATATATAAATAAATATATTGTGTGTATATAATAAATTGTTAAGGATATCAATTAATTGACATTTAAATTTTTGTCCTTTGACTGATCCTTGACTAATTGAACAATTTAAACTATTTGAATTTAGAGATTTATAATCATCATTCATTGATAAAAATTCCATCTCACCATTCTCACATCTAGTTAAAATACCATGAACATTTGAAATATCACATGGTATTAAGTAATATATATTACTCTATTAATTAGCACAAAATTTTGGGCATGAGTAAATTATATTTATGATGAATATTTATAAAAATTTATAAATATTACTTTGGTATATTTGTAAATAATGTCTTTTTCATAGAATTCAATTGGATGCATTCTTTTAGAGGCTGGATTTAATCCAGTAGTATCAGATGTGAATGTGGATGATTGATTGTTAAGTGGATCAAATGTTCTTTCACTATAAAAATATGGAATCAATATTAATAATAACAAATATTCTATCTTAAATTAAATTTTATAAAATAAACCTTTTCTCTCTTTTTATATGTGACTCAACTCTCCAGAAATTCCCATAATCATCAAGAACTATACAAGTAATTATCCAATCAAACTTATTTACTTCTTTACTATTACTATTACTATTACTATGATTCGATGAAGAATTTACAAGTGTCACATCTATCAAAAGGAAATTTCCAGATTTCTTTTAAAATATTCTTATAGAATAAATGAAGTCTATTTGGTAAAATTTTAATAATAATTATTATATAATCTTGATCTTTTTTATTTAATGTTTTAAAAAAATATTTTTAATTGTTGGTGTTGGAAGTCGATATGAGCTTCTGATTTGGATTCCATCTTTGAAATTATAAACATTTAATCATGTGAATTATTTATGGAAAATGGCTGGCTATAAATAAAATGCCCACAATTTTTTACTTCTAAAAATAAAACTATTTATTCTAACAAGCTTAAACAGTAAATATTCTTTATAGAGTTCATTATTTAATATATTTCCTTAATACTAATAAAAATAATATAATTAATCTATATAGTGAGTGTGTTGATTGAGACTACTGTCGGTGACATTGTTATAGATCTTCATACAAAAAGGTGTCCACAAACTTCTTTAAATTTTATTAAATTATGTAAAGTTAAATATTATAATTTTTGTTGTTTTCATAATGTTCAAAAGAATTTCATGGTCCAAACCGGAGATCCAACAGCTACCGGTAAAGGAGGCGAATCAATATTTGGTATATTGCACGGCCCATCACGAAAATATTTCCCAGCAGAAATTCATCCTAAACTAAAACATAAAAAAATAGGAACTGTTTCAATGGCTGTTGCAAATGATGATGGTGGTTCGTCATCATCATCAACAGATAGTACTGGTGTCAGTGGTTCCCAATTTTTCATTACAACAGGCGAAGATCTTGATTATTTAGATGGAAAGTATACAGTGTTTGGTGAAGTTGCCGAAGGATTTGATACACTTGAAAAAATTAATGATACTTATTGTGATGAATCTGGTAGACCATACAAAGATATTAGAATCAAACATACAATAGTGCTAGATGATCCTTTTCCTGATCCTGATGGTTTGATCATTCCTGATAGGAGTCCTGAACCAACAAAAGAAATGTTGGAGACAATAAGGATTGGCGAAGATGAAAGTATAGAACCAGAACTTCCGCCCGAGGAATTGGAAAAACAACAACGACGAACGGAAGCTCAGGCTGAAGCATTGACATTAGAAATGATAGGTGATATACCTTTTGCTGAAGTTAAACCACCTGAAAATGTATTATTTGTATGTAAATTAAATTCGGTGACAAGAGATGAAGATTTAGAAATGATTTTTTCACGATTTGGCCCTATTAGTAGCTGTGAAATTATTCGTGATAAGAAAACCGGAGATTCTTTATGTTATGCATTTATTGAATTTGAGGATAAAGATGATTGTGAAAATGCATATTTCAAAATGAACAATGTGTTGATAGATGATAAAAGAATCAAAGTTGATTTTTCACAATCAGTTTCTAAACTTCATCAAGATTGGATTTCTACTAAAGTTAGGAAAAAAGTTGATGGCAGTAGCAGTGGTGGTGGTGGTTATGGTGGCTTTGAAGGTTTAGAAAAACGTAAAAGATATCGTGAAGATGGTCCTCTTATACACCCAAGAAAAAAATAAATTGCAAAATTATATTTATATTATATTTTTTAAAAATATTCTAGTGTCTGTAGTAGTTATTCTACATAAAATTAATATTAATAAACAAAAACAAATCTTTTCTAATTAATTAATTAATAAATTAATAAATAAAAATATATAATTATGTTATTGATTAACACATGTATTCAACAGTAGGTTTAAAAGTATATTTGTCATCGCCGGATCTTAATTTTAAAATAACTTTACTTGACCATTCTTGACCTTGCATTTCTATTAGCCTGCTAACAGTTCTTTCGAATGCAAAAATTTCTTCTTCACCTGTAAATATAGGATTTGATTTGTGTTCATCATAACTTAAACCTAAATCATCCAATAATGAATGTTTATGATGTATTGTTGATGATGATGATGATAATAGGTCTTCTTCAGTTGTAAATAGTTCAGTTACAGGTACTTCAGCTGAACAAATTAATGTTTTCTTAATATATTGTAAAAGAAAAAATTCATCATTATTATTAACATTATTAAATAAATTTTATTATTAACATTTAATGCCTACCCTGGTATCATATAATGCATCTATTAAAGTAATGAATCTTTTGGCTTCATTTTTCAAACTTAAAGACATTCTTGGCACATCAGTTAGTATGATGGTATTATAATATTTAGTTAATTCTAAATAATCAGCAGCACTCATAGGCTGGCAACATAATTCCTGAAATGTAAACTTTGCAACATCATCGCATGATTCTGGTATTGTAAAATATCTACCCCATAATTCCAACTTAGCCTCATTGACTTGCTTGCCTGTTGTCAATCTTTTAAATATTTTATTGATTTCTGATTTTGATTGTTCATTTAATGGTGTGAAATAAGTACTACTTGTTATTTTACGTGACATCTTTCGATAATCAGTTCCTGAATTTAGTGTGTGCACATTACATTTTTCCTTTATCAAATCAATACACGGTATAAAACTTTTACGTTGAATTCCATTTTTGTAGAGATCGTCAGGATGTCGATTTGATGTTGTGACGACAACTACACCTCTCTCAAACAAACACTCGAACAGACGTCTTAATATCATTGCATCTGCTATATCAGTGACTTGAAATTCATCAAAACACAATACAATAGCATCGTTTGCTAAATCAGTTGAAACAGGAGGAATTGGATCATAGGCTGCGGAATTGGCTAATTTATACCTGTGTAAACGTTTGTGAACATCTTGCATGAATGCATGAAAGTGTACACGACGTTTACGTTTAACAGGCAAAGTATCGTAAAAAAGATCCATCAACATAGTTTTTCCAGTTCCTACATCACCATATAAATATAATCCTTTGGTATTATTAAAAGATATATTTTTATCTGATACACTAAATAATTTTGATAGCTAAAATTTATCCAACTTTATTAATTAAACAATCACAGTAATTATAGAAATTATTGAAAATAAATAATAACTGATGAGCTCTTACCTTTCCAAATATTGAATCATTATTAACATTGTCTCTAGAATCGGTTATAAGCGGTAGATCGTATCCGTTTAAATTATCATGTAAATGTTGAAGTATTTCTATAATATTACGCTGGAAAGCATCATCCCTAATAATTCCAGAAGTAACGATCATATTATATCTAGAAATAGGACCATCTAAACACACACGCACATACATAAAAAGATATAGAAAAAATAGAAAAAAAAAGAAAATGAATAAAAAATTCTACACAAGAAATTTACCTTTTTGTATAATAAAATCTTTTGAAAGATGTTTTGGTTCTAGTGAACGTAAATTACTCTCGTCAGCAACAGGACTATCTATAATGGCACTATAATTTTTTGATGATGTACTGACATGTTTATATTTTGAAAAATTCCAGAGCAAACGACGACAATGACAATCTTTTAAAATAGTTTGATGAATAATTGCTGATGACGATGGTAGTATTAATATTGAATTTATATCAGGTATTTGATGTCTTTGAATTAAAAAGTTTCTTGAAGAAGTTTGAGTTATTATATTACGAAAGTTTTTAATTGGAAGCATAATTTTTTTGTAAAAAAAAATATTCTGATTGAACAAATAAAAATAGAATCATATTATATAAAATTTGGCTTTTGTAATATTTGTGACACAAAAAAAAGATAATGTGATTTATATTTTTTAATACAGTGCCGATCGTCTATATTTAAAAATCATGTGATCTATACACCAAATTTTAGAGAATACCACCATTCAACTCAGCTTTAAAAAAAGAATTAATTCAAGACATAAAAAAAAACTAGTCCCATTTTTATGTCACTGATCTTTCCTAATTTGGATAATTCATAAATTCATATGTTTCATTTATTCTTTTGACAAAAGCAATTAAAAATGCAATAAGTTTAAGTTACACAAAAACACAGATAAAACTCAAATTTTAGTTTCATCATACACAGAATCAGGTACTCTCCTATGTGAACTATACTTTTTCACTGCAAATTCACCAGATGGATCATATTTTCTGTATTTGGTGGTTCGTGGTATTCCAATTTTATTTTTAGGATCATTTCTTTTTCCTTGTTTTATAGCTACTTCAGCATCAATGTGAATAATATCAACATCAGAATCTGAAGAATAAATTTCATCTGATAAAATAAAATCTGAGTTAGAAGAATCTGATGCTTTATTTTTTTTTTCAAATTGGCCTGTAGACAAATTTTTAGGTCGATTTTTTGAATTTTTTCTTTGAGCAATTTGACTTTTTGTTAATGGCATATTTTTAATTATTACAATATCAGAATTTTTTGAAATGAAAAATGAATTGAAAAACGCGACGTTACACTGATTTACTTAGTCCCATTTTTTGCATAACTTGGTCAATATTGAAGTTAAAAGAAATCTAGCCACTGATTTTGAAAGTTTTAATGTTGCTTAATAAAAATCAGTGGTTAGAATTTTTTTAAAAATAATTTTTTACCAGGTTTAGTAATGTCAATTGTTATTTTGAGTATAGACGATCGGCACTGTACGATTGGTTGATTGATTCAAAGTCGAATCTCACTATCTAGAATATCAATGGAAAATGGTCGTAATAGTAAAATATTGTCAACTATTATTGGCTTACCAAAAATACGATATAGCTATTTAATTATAAGCAACACAAACAAAACAGGATGAACAGACAAATATTAGATCATTTGGGATTTATAGATAACTTTAATATTTGTATTTTAATTAGCATTAAAATTGATTAAATAGATTTTGGTTCATAAAAAAAAAAAAATTAGGGGCATTTCTTCAAAAATGACGAATTTCAAAACTGCGGAACGGTACATACACGGCTTTGCCTACACGGAAAAAGGGACAGGAAAGTTGATCTCATTTAATGTGATACGTGCAGACGTTCTTAACCCCGTCATGGAAAAAGTCGTATGATTTGTTCATGAAGTGTATGACAATTGGATGAGCCTTTTGTTATTAGTTTGTTAATTATATATATAACTAAAGGTAAATAAGAATCTATTTTAATACTATATTGCTATATTAATTATAAGAATACAAACAGAATGAGTAAATATATTATTATTCTGCATATAATTAAATATTTAGAAGTAATATTTTAACATTTTAAAATGTTATGCCTTTAAATTGATTCTTGTTTCAAATTCATTAAAGGATTTTTGATTTTAAATTAATATCAAGTGACTTGAATTTTTTGAATAGAGGAAAATCTACTATGTTGCAGATCGCCCTATTGTATCACAATTCATGTGAAAATTAATGAATGATAAATTGAAAAACGGGCGATACGTTTTATTGTTGATGCTCTAGTATTTAGGGATAGATGTAACGGTCCTAAAAAAAATGCTAGATGAAGCGTTTGATTTAGGAATATTGACCAGGAAAATCAGCTGGGACTGGAATGACATTCTTACTTCAATATTCATGAAGTTCTAGTAATTCAACGAATGGTGTTATGGCCTCAAGATAATTAGATAAAGGTTTCAAATCTTGGGGAACAAAATCAACAAATTTTACAGTATCCATTTTCCTATTTTCACATAGATCACCCTGTAAATCTATGTCGTAAATATGTACTATTAATAATAAGTTCACTTTCAGGAAGTTTATGTAAGCTTGGGTTTGTCTAATTAAATGCACCATTTCTGCTGGTAGCCTCGCTATATTGTTACAGGCACACAGCACAATACAGTTTATAATTCCTTGCTACATTTTCGTATCTGTTTTCCTCTATTTTTTCAAACGCAGTTCTCTTTTCATATTGGTTGAAATTCTACAATTCTACGATAATAGATTGTTTCTTACAATTTTAGTCGCTGGTCATCCAAAACACTCTCAATATCAAAAAGATCTGATAGGAGTTTAAACAATTGGTATGGGTTTCCACTTGTTTTTAACAATTAAATTGGTGGAAGCAAACACTAACTTAAAATTAATAAATAGACAATTAATTATCGTTGTTAAAAAAATAAAGCAATATAATAATAATAAATATTTACTAAATAAAATGTTTGCCAACTAAGAAAGAGTATGCCCATTTAACATTAACTCAAAAATCTCTTTTTTATTCACTTGGAAATCATCTAATATTCATTCTTGTATTTATTATTAATAATGTATTTTCAGATTCTAGCCTAAGACGTCTTTCAGAAGTTAGCGTAAAAGTAGATAATAAAATTTATATTCTTGGAGGTTATAGCTTGCAGACCAGTTCTCTTACTGATTCAATATTTTATTTAGATTTAACTACTGATTTCGATGCTGTAAATGTGCCGTGGGTTGATTTAACATCTACAAACAGAATTCCCGTAAGGATTGCTTGGCCTTTGGTGTGGTTAGTGGGCCATACAAATCAACCATTTTTTTATTTGGTGGAATTATCCCAATCCAACTTCTGATACATATAATTTTGATAATTTACTTTACACATATGATATAAACACAAAAGTTTAGAGTACTCCAAAAATAACTGGCGTTACTCCCACAAATCGTCGAGAAGGTAGTATTGTGGTGGATGATAAGAGAAAATTGTATATTTTGGTGGATTAGCAGATGAATTTACTGGATCTCCCAATAATAATTTTCGAGCCTTTAATGATATATATACAGTAGGCCTGACTTGGGGTCTAATCACTGTAAATAATCCACCATCCCCAACTTATGACCGTACTTTAACTTTATTGCCTGATGGAACACAAATGCTACAGGTGCAATTGGTTATGAAGTTGATATCTATAAAGTGTGAATTTATATATACTGTACATATGTATTTTTTTTTTGATTTTTTTTTTAAAATAAATTTTTTATCTTGTAGATAAAAATTTTTGATACAAAAAATTCAAGTTGGTCAATTGTGGTGTATGTGTGTGTGTGTGTGTGTGTGTGTGTGTTGTTTAATTAATTATGAAATAAATAAATTAACCCGAATGAAAATTTTAGACAGCCACCAGTTCAGTAACAATTCAATATTAACTTGATCGTAGAACTGTACTTGGTAATTAAATTTTCCTTATATTTTGAGAATTTAAAAATTTTTTTTTGATATATGTATATGCATACAAAGCAAATAATGCGAGTATTAATTGTTTATGGAGGTATGAGATTTCCTTCACTAGTTACATCATTCCCTGAACTTCTTGTGCTGAACAAATCCTTTTCAATACCCAAATTTTCACTTGATAATCGTGCTCCACCTCTAACAATGCATACAGCCAATTTAATTGGAAATCAAATGATAATGAGTTTTGGTAATATATTTTATAAAATTTATTTATTCGCCACCATAAAAATTAATTAATTATATTTATATAGGAAATATTACAAATAATAATATGTATCCAAATGCATCTAATTCAGACACTTATATACTTAATATTAATGATTATAGCCGGGAAAAAAATAATATTCGGCATCTGAAGCAAACTTAGCATCATCGTCGTCATCAATAACACTAATTAAAATCTTAACAATAGTGTTTTCAGTTTTAATTGCATTAATAGTAGTAATAATGGCAACGTTTATAATTGTGACGTTATGTTAAAAGAAAGAAAGAAAGAATTACCACCTAATGTAATAGAGATTCCAAGTGAACAACAACTTCAACAACACAATAATATTCCAACTAACCTTAATCAAAACCAATCTACCAACAATAGTCCATTAACACCACCATTTACTAATAATCGTAACACTAATAGTATGTATGCTGGTGGAATGACTTTTTGATAATATGCTATCACCAACTCATCAACAACAACAATTTATGCAACGCTTACCTGAACAAGAATAACGATTCATATAATAATCAATGAATAATAATTATAACTATAGAATATGATTTTTTGCTTATTTAATTTATTTTGGAAACTATAAGATTAATGTTAAATAAAATAATAATACGCATCGTGAAAATAAACCCTTTATTACCATTTTTGGAAATAATAATCAAGATTATCACTAATTAAAATTTGAAAATAACGTAGTGGAAATTTGAAATGTTACACTAATTTTTTATATTGTGCAACGTAGCTTTACAATACACGGCAAACATTCTGGCAATAAAAAATAAGTGATAAACTGGATTTGAATTGGATCTGAACTTGATCTCCAATTTAGAGAGGTAACAACTATATACTGGCAAAGTTTCAGAAGCAACAACTTCTACTATGCTGAAATATATAATATATATCTTTTTACTATATAATACTAAATTAACATGGTGCACAAATCTATAACTACCATTTTTGCGCGTGATTTGTAAAATAAAAATAACTAGCAAGTTATATCTAATAAAAATATAATCTCATAGAAAAACTTCCAAGTAATATTAAAGTTGAATAAATATATATGATTTTAATACTAATATATACTAATATTAATGTTTTGGATTTTGTCGCGTGACGCAAAAATGGTATGTCTTTAGATGATCGGTACTATATTAATATGTCATTTCGTTACACATTGTAAGGGCAATTTTTTCACCTTGTTCTTTTTTACTTCTGATAGTGCTGTAATTCTTGGGTTCCATGATGGATTTTATGTAAATTAGTTCATATTTATGTTTTTATATAGGGGGTAGTCAATCATACATGTCATTTAAAAAAAACAATCCTTAATGTAGCAAAAGGGAATTAAACCCTAATCTAATCTATACTTTTGGATTGATTACTCCAACTATTATGGAGCGAGAAACGAAAATAAGATTTTCAGGTAAGGCGTTAATATCATGATCACTCCAATTTTCTTTATGACATCAATGTTCACTTTGTCTGATTTTGTTCCAGACTGCCCCAGATCATTTTATAGTTGGTAATTATTTTTTCTTAAATATGAATATTTCATTTAACAGTTGAGAGTTAATAACCAGAAGAAGGAAGAAATGGGTTTTTTAGTAATAATAATAATAATAACTAATAAAAGAAAAAAGAAAATTCCAAGGATTCAAATGAAAAAAACCGAAAAGAAAAATCCAAATAAAATCAAGAAACTTGTAAAGTGGATGGTGCTTTGAAGAACTCCCGCTATCATACGCTTCGGTGACTACACTACTAACGCCGGGGGTGGCCAGGTCGATTTTTTATTCTTCTCGTGATTTTTTGTTAATTTATAGGATAGATAGATTATTTTATTGAAATCCTTTAAATAGTATTTGTTAATAGTAGTATTGTTATTATTTATCCTTTGTAATTCAATTCTTGAATGGAAATGATAATTTTTCTTATCATTTAAAAAGTCTCGACTTTATTTATTAAAAATAGATGAATAATTAATGAATGGTTAACAATCAATTGGGAAACTTGTGAAGAACGTTACATTAGAAGCATAATATTTACCATTTATAAAAGCACAAGTTTACAAAAAAAAAAAAACCACAAAAGTGGATTAGTTTATTATAGCAAACAACTGAATAATATTTCCTATAAATTTTACTAAATATTAAAACATATATGGAAATAATTGATTATCTAAAGTTTACTTTTTGTTTGTTGTGATTGTTGATGAGGTATAACAATTACTTTACCAAAAGTTTTTCTAGCTGCAATATCGTTCAAACCCACTTTAATATTTTCTAATCCATAGTATATTTTATTGTAAATTAAAGGTTTTAATTCTTTCTTTTTAAGCAAATCAAAAATTCCATTCCAAACCATTTGAATTGTTTCTTGTTCATCATGTTTTGAATACTCGCCCCAATGCAACCCAGTTAACGAAATATTTTTCAGTAGAACCAAATTCATTGGAATCTTTTCAATGTTACCAGCTGCGAATCCAATCACCACCAATCGTCCATTCCATGCTAATAGGAATATTAATAAAGATAATCATTAAAAAATAAGATTATTTATATTATAATCTAGAGGAATGGAATGATGCTACTTACCAATACATTTTATGGAAGGCTGAATCATTCCAACAGGGTCGTAAACAACATCTACGCCGTGACCATTGGTAATTTTAAGTACATCTTTATACCAATCTTTATTTTCTTTATAATTTATAGCATAATCTGCTCCATATTCCTTTGCTATCTCTAATTTTTCGTTTGACCCACAACAAGCAATGACTTTTGCTCCCAATGCCTAATATAATTAATTATTATTGTTGTTGTTGTTATTATTATTATTATATATTTCTTTTAATTTTGATTTTCCTTTAGAATCTTTTTTTTACCTTTGCTATTTGTACAGCAGCTATACCGACACCTCCAGCTGCTGCATGAATTAGACACCATTCATCTATTATTATTAATCAAATAGAATAATTAATTAATTAATTAATCAACTTTTCTATTTGATTTATTTCAAAAATTACCTTTTTTTAAATTTCCTCTAACGACTAAACCAGCATAACTTGTAGGATAAGTAACAAATATACCAGCAGCTTCTTCATAACTCATATCATGATCAGGTATTAAATGAACATTTTCACATGAAATAGCAATTCGTTCTGCAAAGCATCCCAAACTACTACCAAAAACTCGATCTCCTGCCTTAAATTGTTTTTTGCATTTTGGATGTGTGTTAATAACAATTCCCGAAAACTAACAATAATAATATGATGATGATGATGATGATGATAATCATTAGAAAAGTAATAATAATAATGGTCATTTGATTAATTGATAAACTAATTGTTGATTGATAATTACTTCACCTCCAGGAATAAATGGAAAAGATGGTTTAGCTTGATGTTTTCCTTGAACCTAAAAAGAAAAAAAAGTAAAGCAAATTTTTAATTTTTATTTTTTAAAATTTTTCTAAAAACTAAAATATTTACTTGTAAAATATCAAAGAAATTTAAAGCAATAGCCTTTATTTCAATTAAAACTTGATCTTCTTTTAGCGTTGGTTCAGGAACATCTGGAAAAACCTTTAGCTCATCAATTGATTTTACCCATTTATTATTAATTACAATTGCTTTCATTTTATTTTATTTTTTTATAATGATATTCATTTCGACCTTGAAAGATGATGTGATGGCTAGTGTATATATGAAGATCATGTGCATCATTTTAATTATTAATTCAGTCGGGGATATTACCAAATATGGAATTTCTAAATACTGTACAATCAAACCTCGTTATAACGAACATATTGGTTTGGCCCAATTATCCGTTATAACGAGGTATTCGGTAACCAAGGTAATAGATGATCATCACGTGATAATTTTAAAAATAACTTTTAATTAATATTAATGATAATAAAATTGTATAGTGCACACCACAATAACTCATCAAATAAAAATTGACCAACTTTAAAACCTAAAAAGAAAATATTGTGTGCTTATCAAAAAATTAAATTGAGATGATATTTGATAGCTTTTGACTAGTTCTACAATCTATTGTCAAGACAATTAAAAAATAATTATTGGTTCAGGAGTTATAAGCTTTTGAAAATCATGTAATTTTTATATGTTACATATGTAAACTTGATAAGTTGGTTTACTCAATAAGTTGGCCAAAATTTTCATCCCATTTTCTTAATATTTAAGTAATTTATAAGTCAGTTTACTCAATAAGTTGGTCATATGACCTCACCCCTACATGACTGACTTATCAAGTTTACATATGTATATATAAAATTTTCCAAATTTGAAACATGTAATTTTGGCCCACCTCAGGTCACACATAAAAATAGATTTTTTAATTCTGGTAATTGCATTGAATTTATGAATATAAAATAATCCCATTCAAATTTTTTGTTTGAAGTTTCTCTTGAAGGACCTTTGTCTTGTTGTGCTAGACATATCTTAGCAATCCAAGATGATTTTAAAAACCAAAAACCCTTACTTCAAGAATTAATTGAAGAAAGAACATAAAGTCATCTTCTATCCA